GTCACTACCGCATGCTGAACCTCCTGCCCCAAATAGTTCTCAGCTGTCTCCTTCATCTTTGCCAGGACCATGGAGGACACCTCCTCTGGAGGCATGATCTTCTCCGCACCCTTCACCTTGACACTGATCATCGGTTTCCCGCCCTTCTCCACAATCTTGAAGGGTAGCAGCTTCATGTCCTCCTGCACGGTAGAGTCCTTGAAGCGCCTCCCTATCAAGCGTTTCACGTCAAACAAGGTTTGTGTCGGATTTACCGCGGCCTGGTTCTTTCCGGCCTCGCCGATGAGCCGCTCTTCATCTGTAAACGCCACATATGAGGGTGTGATACGATTTCCCTGGTCGTTGGGAAGTATCTCCACTCTGCCCTGCTTGTAGATGCCGACGCAAGAGTAAGTGGTCCCAAGATCCACGCCGATCACAGGACCATTGATGCTCGGCTCCTTGGCAGCTGAAGCTACAGCAACCACTCCCACGCAAGCGACCACGAGGAAGACTATAGCCTTCCCTTTCGACTCCATGTCGCGGGGCACCGAATCCCTGACTTGCGAGAGCTAACCAAAACGGCTGTCCAACCGACGTGCAGCAAGAAGCACACGTGCAACCTCCGCATCTCTACAGTTCAAGCATGGCATAAGTACGGCAAGGGTTCACATGCGAAAAATGGTTTGGGGTTCATAGGTCCGCATGGTGCGCCGGCTCATACGCGCAGCACATGGTTAGGGTTCATATGCACGCATAGTGCGCTTTATCTGACACTGGACGGATGTGGGGCATGGGAAACCGGCACCCATTCAACGCTGCGCCCCTTTTCCTTCTGGGGTGAAACCGAACTCGCGCTTCGCTCCGGCACTCAGCCGACCTGGGAGCCGCAAAGCAACGACGCGGATGCTGCAGTCTGTGACGTGTGGTAATCCTTCTTTCTTGCATTTTTAGAGACCTGCGTAGATCTCATGGAATCAATTGATCCCTTTAACGTGTTTTACCCGTGCTTCTGGTGCCATTGTTAAACCGTCAGCAGGACCATGTGCTCTGTTGTGTTGCCATCTGTATGAGATGTATGTATGGGGCACAAGTGCGTGTGTGTGTGTGTGTGTGTGGCTTCAGCCTTGCTAATATTCCTTTGATCCTGACGGCTGCAGATGGCAATGTCGGAACACGATTGAAAATAACACTTTCCGGAACAGAATGCATTGGGGTTTTACTGTTTATGCCATACTGCGACAACTGTCACATTAAAAAGTCGCTCTATCAGTTCAACAAAGATCGATATACTAATACTTTGAGCAGGCTATCGCACACTCAAACTTAACTTGCATTCAACATACACAAATGCAGCATTGCGTAAGCGGGAGTTGTGCATGTTTGAAAGGCACGGCTCCCACGTTCAGACAGCAAATCAGCACACTACACGGTATGCCCTGAAATCTTCACTTGTCGTCCAGGGACTTGCTGCATATCCGTTCCAGCGGCCCCGTGCAGCCTGCCAGAGTCGGGGGCAATGCTGCAGCTGCTGCCAGAAGCCGGGCAGCCCTGGGTCCGTAGTTCAGCTTTTCGAGTGCTGGTTTTGGCCAATTGAAACCGAAGGTCTTTAAATATGACACGTCTCGTGCAGGAAGCTTTGCATGTCCATGGTTGACGAAGTAGATGACGCAGAAGCGCTCCCCCTTGAAGGGACAAGTCAGATGAGGGATGTTCCCATCGAACTCATAAAAGCGATCTTTCACGTCGACCTTGCCCTTCCCATGGATGTACAGCGCACCGACCCCATGCATGTCACGAGTGAAGGCCCCAAATTGCTGGAGTCGCAATGAAGGGCTGTTGCGAAGCTCTTGTTGATCTGGATCGTTGTGAAAGGGAACTTCGGATTAACTGTCTTTGCAAGCTGGCAGAGATCCTTGATGAGCTCACAATAGTGGTCCATCTTGGACCTGTTCACCGAATAGCCGCTTCTTTGAGAAAGGTTCATGCCTACAGACACTCCTTCAGGAAAGGTTCCGGCCTTGGCAGTCACGTTGTCCCGGCTGATTTGTGTTGGGAAGCTTGCAGCTCGAAGGCTTGTCAAGACTTTTCTGCAGGTTGTCCTGGCCTTCTTGGCAACGCTCGGACTGGGTGATTGGCGGCGTTTGCGCGTGTCCAAGAGCTTGGTGAGCCCCGGAACTGTGTCCAAGAGTTTTCGGGCCCAGGCAGGGTAAGCAGCAGGAGCCTTCAAAATCGTTTCCAAAAATGCGGCAAACCTTTGGTGTTGCTTGCTAGTGACCGAGTCCAGTGTTGGGAGCCCGTTTTGTTGTGCAACTTGCGCCAGCTTGCGGATCTCCTCTCGGAAGCAATGTCTCAGCTCATGCTTATTGCTACCGTTTGTTTCTTCTCTTTGCCGCTTGGCCTTCCTGATTCTCAGGGCATCCCAATGACGTATCCGGGCAGATAGCAAGGGCACCGCTTTCAGGAGTTTCTTTTTGGCAGGAGGATATGGACCCCTTACTCGTGCAATCCTGCTCCGACCCATCATCCATTGCTGCTGTACGTTCAGGAAAGAAGCCAAATACTTTTCCAAACCCTTTTGTGCCCTGGGCCGGCAAGCGGTCATGAGTCTGGACCCATTTCTTCAGCTCTGCCACTGTCTGATGGAAAGATCTCCTCGCAATGGCGACCATGAGGCGATGAAGCTGGGCCAATGTTGCAATGTCTCAAATGAAGGGGTACCTTCTTCTAAGGTCCTTATAATCGGGATCCTACTATTTCGGGTACCATATCAGGGTCCCCCATGTTCAAGCATGGCATATACGCATGACAAGGGTTCATATGCGAGTAATGCTTTGGGGCTCATATGTGCGCAAGGTGCGCCGGCTCATATGCGCAGCACAGGTTATAGGGTTCTTATGCACACATGGTGCACTAAAACTCTAGTGCTTCATGGTCATTTGGCTCAGCTTCTGAGTCTTGCTCGTGATGTGTGCAATAAGTCATGTGACACTGGACGGATATTTGGCATGTCTGCGCTGGCCGAAAACGCCTCTCCTTTTGCCTTTTCCTTCTGGGTGAAACCAAGCGCTCCGCTCGCGCTCCGCTCCGGCGCTCCGCTCCGGCGCTCAGCCGCCCTGGCCGAGCCGCAAAAAAAAGACACTCGGATGCTGATGCAGTCTTGCGCGGCGAGATTTCTCAGACGAGGCCGCCTGGAGGTAGCTCTGCATAATCTTCCCGATGGCGTTGGTAACCTTTCGAGTTAAAGGTTGCCGTGGCTCCGCGTCTCTCGACTTCTCGGGTCCTCGCCTCGGGGTGCTGGGTCCGGACGATGAGCCGCAAGAGCCGGCGCCCCGCGTCGTACTGCAAACGGACCTGGTCAGCGGAGCGCTCTCTGCTGAGACCAAGGTTGGTCACTCCAAGAGGCCAAGGGCGGCCAAGGGGCAAGGACAGGGACGGTCATCATCTTCTCGGGCTGTTGCGGGTCCGGCGTGGCCGTGTTCAGCGTGCCTCACAAAAAACTGCACGGCGATGCGACCGCACATGACTGGACTGCAGGCCCCCCGCGAGCCTGCAGCGAAGGCTGCCGTCGGCCCACTCTCGGGGAGGACGAACATGTTGAAGCCCTGGTACGTGTTTTGAGAGCCCGTATAATTCGGCAGTGTCGGCTCCATGAGGCCTTCTCCAGATACTTGGCCCACTCGTTCGGCTGAGCTTTGGCCTTCCAGAGCAGCGGCGTGCGTTCAGCGCCCGCCAGCACTCTAAGCCGAAGAACCTCTCTTTTTTCAGAAAGCGGCGCCTGGCCATCCAGCACGAGCTCCCGCGGTCCGGTCAAGCTTTCAAAGAAAGGCCGAAACTGGGCCATCTGTCAGAGAGAGCAGAACTCCAAAACTCGAGCTTCTCTGCATAGTTAACACCAGTTATCACCATCACACCCACGCCTGCACTTGCGCAGGCGTCATGAATTTCGTCACGACAGCGGGCCTGGAAGAAGGAACGTGAGCCATGTTCGCAGACGAGCTGAACTTCTGAAAAATGGGCGGGGTGCGGGGCAGTCGATGCATTTTGGATGCTTCAAGCAGCTTTGACTTCTGGGTCACAGGCAGCAGCAGCGGTAGCTGCTGAGGTGGTGCCCCGGGTGCTGTGCAGTACCTGGGGCGGCGCAGGGGGGGGCGCACCGGCCCAGAGTCTCTGCGAGACGTCGACAAGGCTGCGCCGAGCCGCTCCACCAGGTACTTGGCCGGCTGTAGGAAGGGACGCAGGCACTGAACCTGGACGAAGTGGCTGGCCTCGGTTCTCAGATCGGAAAGAAGCTCCCCTGCTTCTACAACCCGCGGCCTGCTCGCCAGGCTTCAATGAAGCGGGCACCTTCGCAGCTTTGCTCTCAAGGGCCGGAATGCCGGAACCGCTAGAGCCGCCTCGCTGAAGGTCTGGATTCGCATGTAATCCACCTGAGTTCGAGATACATGAACTTTCGGCGAAAGCTGGCCATGGTCATCGCAACTGGCAGCTGCGCCTGCGGAATCTGGACTCGGATGTTCCCTATAGGAGCCTGCACTTGGCAGCAGTGTGAGAGCTGCGGCAGCAGGTGAGCCACCAGGGCCCTTGGAGTCCTTGGCAGAGTTGACAAAGGTAATCGTCAGGCGACCTGTCGCCGTATTGTACCTCCCAGTCCGAGGATCACTCCACACGAGCTGCAAGAGCGAGTGTTCGCAACGGCGCACTCTTGCTTCAGCTCCAAGACGAGCTGTGGCGAGGTGTAGAACCTGCAGACAGAAGCCGGGCCGAGAGCAGAGCCCAGAATCTCCTTTTTCGCCTTGCGGCCCTGCCTTCCTTGCGGCAGGATGCAGAGCTGCGACCATAAGTCCTGATCGGCTCTGACAGCGAGCCCGCTTAAAAACCGGAGGACCGAGGTGTCCTTGGGGCTCCCTGCACCCGCACCCGTCGCGGCCGTCCCGGCCGTGCCGTTGCTCCGCACGGGTCCAGCATCTGCACCATGGGAAAAACCATGGAAAATCCGCATCGATACGATCATGTCCTTGGATTTGCTGGAGACCCAGCCTTCCTCGGAGTCCGACGACTCGGACCTGGGAGGTCAGAGCTTCAGCTCCTCGCGACCCGCCGTTTGTGCTTGAGCTTCCTGCGCCGACGCATCCTGAACCTGCGAGCTTGTGCGGAGCGAGCATGCGGAGCGACTGTGGAGCGAGCATGCGGAGCGACTGCGGAGCGAGCATGCGTTGGGGGCCCTGCCTTCGGTGAAGCAGGGGAGCTGGCCTTGGGACGGCCTGAGAAGCGTAGCTAAGACTGGCGCACGCTGCCTTTGCAAAAGGCCATGACCATGAGCTTCAAGGCCGTCGCCTGGGTCCGGCAGCTCCATGATCCTCCCGTCGCTCTCGGCCTTTCCACGGCCTTGAGAGCTGCTCAATAACGCTCGCCGCTCGCCTCCTCTCTGCTCCCTTTCTGCTCCCTTCCCTCCGGGAAGCGGCCACACCTGGCTTGTACATGCCGCCTTCGCTCTTCGCCGCCTTTGCAGACAAGATCCCTATCCGCAGTCTGCAACCACGTGTGAGAGCTGAGGGGAGAAGGACAAGCTTGAAAACAGCGGTATAGCCGTCGTCTGCCTGTCTTCACTCTCTCCACGCGCATACCCTGACCCTGTGCCAGAAATCGCCCTCGTCTTGACTGGGAGAGACGCCGTTTGTGACGGTTTTGAGACGACGAAACGCGAGGACCAGCAGCTCGAAGCGGCCATTTCGATATTCGTACCGTTACAGTGCGACGCTGAAGCGGCGCAGGTTGCTTCGGGGTCCCCTCAGCTGGAAGATGCCATCTTGGTGCGTGAATAGCAGGGTTCTAGCTGTCGTAGGGAGAATTGCTGGCCTCCTCCAGCTCCGCACGTGTGTGCGCCCTGTTCTTGGCCGAGAATTTCAGGCGCTGAACCTGGCAAGAAGTCCGCATCCACGCGGATGCATACTGGCCCTCACGCCGGCCAGAGGATTGTTCTTCTGCACGCTCTCTGCGTACCTGGGAGCTTTGAAACGCGGCAGCGGCGCCAACGCTATGAACCCCCTAGATCCGAAAATCCGACGCTCCGACGGAGGCATCGGTCTCAGCACCTGGTCCAGGTTCTCCTGGATGCGGGCGAAAGGCGAGCGCGGGCCACCGTCGGAGTCCCAAGCGCCCACAGGCGTGGCCTCGTCCCGGGAGAGCTGCAGGAGCTCCACGGCTCGCTGCTGCAGCTCCACATCGGCATTGTCCTGCCAAGCCGCCGCAAAGCCGCAAAGCGAAAGAGAGAGAGAGAGAGAGAGAGAGAGCGAGCGAGCGAGCGAGCGAGCTCACTAGTTGAGCTCACATGATCTCTTCCCAGCATGCTCCTGGATCTCCCGTAGGAAGCCCGTCACCTCGCCCTTCAGAGCCTCGTGGTTGGCGTTCAAGACCTTCACGGCGGCGAGCAGGAGGATGGCCTCCACGTCTACGGACACACCATACGTATAGAATCGCAGGGATGCAGAGAAACACGTATTCTGCCAGGCGCTTATGTAGACTTTCAGAATGGCCTTGGTTCCAGGCGATCCTCGCTGAAAGTGCCGGTGGAGGGCTTCAAACTTCCTGAACCACATTCCGATTCGAAATGCTGTTGTTCCGGAAGCTCAAAAATCACCTTGACATCGGCACACACCGGGCCCCGCGCGCACGAGGCGTCACGCTCTGCGGGAGCAGGTGCCCGAATTCTCCAATGAGGTACCTCGCTGTCAGATACTAAACGACTAGATTGCAAGTGCTCTTGAAAACTGCACCCATAGCACAGAGGTCCGGAGAGCTCTCAAAAAGGCAGAGGAAATGAGCTTGCCAAGGAACGCCCCCAAGCGCAAGAGCGTGTCATGGGCCGCTCGCTGACTGGAGAGGTTCTGGTACGCCTCCAGAGTTTGCGCGTGACAAAGGACGCAAAGATGATCTGGGAGTTGCGGGCCTTGCTCGCTGCGTGCCTTCGCAACGCGTTCTGCTCCTCAGCAAGCCGCGATGTGCGAGACAGCTTGGGTCCGGCTTTTGAGCCTTCGAGGCTCACGGCCCGAACTGGCACAAGCTCTGGCAGCTTCGTTCTGTGATCCTTTGGGATACTGAATCCTTACCAATCTCGGATACCGTCGGGAACCCCCGCCATGCGTCGCTTTCCTGAGATTAGCTGGCACACTTGCCTTACTTCAAGACTTCTCAAGCAGGCGCTTTGCCGTGCGCTTGCCCTGAAAACCCACGGTCACAGCCATCTCCTACGGCCCTCCTTTGCCCAATCCCAAGCGCCCCTGCCGCTGGGTGCCCCTGCCGCCTCCGAGGGTCCGTCCTCAAAGCCCGTCACCACCTCAGCACGCTCACAAGAGGCCCTCTGCCCCCCCCCCCTAAACCCGGCCTGCACCACACGATACCAGACGTCGTCAGAGACCTGAGTCACAAAGACCCCGCGCGCTGGCACGCATGATTTTATATCGGAGATGACAAGAGCTGGTCGCGCACCGCATCGGGAGCACTCTCCAGCATTTTGAAGACGACCTGGGTCAGCTCAGTCGATGTCGGAAGCCTGGCCTCTGCGGTCTGCTCTGGCAAGGCGCATCCACGTACCAGCCGATGTTCTTGGCGTTCTTCTCCGCCAGGATGGCGATCTTAAGGACCAACTCCTTATGTGTGAAGGTCTCTTTTTGTGGTGTCCGGCAGGGGCAAGGCTAGGCCGGCCCTGGTCTCTCCTCTTGGAGGAGGTTGTCACTGGACCCCAAAATCTCGAGGAGCTGATCCACGATCTGCTGCCAGTTCTCCGGCCTCACTTCTGACCCTTCCGTGGCAACCCTTCCTACACCTGCACACACCTGTGCAGACGAGGACCGGGCCTGCAAAGCGCGTAGAGCAAGTTCAACGCCTCAACCGCCCCATGTCGCAGAAATCTGAGTGGTGCCAGTGGCGCTTCTGGGCCCTGCCTGTCGGCGGATGGAAATGTCGGTCTCGTGCATCTTATCCAGGATCTGGTTCTTGTACCTGGCCGGGCATCCACTCGCCAGAAAAGAGAGATGGTCAAGTCCGACCTGTCCAAGTACTCGTGCGTGGACCTCGAACTCTCGAGAGTCAGCCAGGCCAAGGCGGTTGCGCTCCAGGCTGGGGCAAAGCGCGACTCTATTTAATTTCGGGGTCCCGGGCAGGTTGCTCGCTAGCCTGGCCATGGTCTCCAAGCCCAGGTACCTCAACAGCTCCAGCTTCTGCTAAAGGGTGCGGAGATATCCCGGCTTCCGGCTCTCCCCTTAAGGCCCTTTCCTGATGTTGGGGTCCGTGGAGGAGAGGAAGATCCCAAGCAGTCCCGCAGCGGTCTTGGTGGTCTCGGGGTCGGCCGTGTCCTCCGCGTTTTTTGTCTATATGACAAAGTCTCGTTGTGGGTGGTTTTTTCTCTGGGAGCCTCGAGGTGGATCATGAGGTTCATGGCCTCAGCTCACACAAGCTTTCCCGAACCAGGCTCCCTCTTTCTCCAGCCTCGAAGAGGACGGCGTGCTCCGCATTGGATCGGTTCTGCCGCTCGGCATCGACCTCAAGGAAAGCAGGCAGCGGAAAGCAGGAGGCAGCTCCTGGATGGGCCTTGCCTTAGTGCGCCTCTTGCCGGGACCTGCAAACACTTCTGCCAAAAACAAGAAGGAAAAAGGGAGGCCACTTCTGCACACAGCGCTTTTTTTGCGAGCGCGTTTCGGGGCCTGGTTGCAGAGGAGCCGGGCTCCGCTGCGAGGAAGGCTTCGCCAAGATGCTCTGAAGGATCAGGTTCAGCCGATGCCTTCGGGCCGGGACCCCAATTTCGGGGCTCTTTTGCTCCTCAAAGCTGGGCTCTCTCGGGTTCGGGCAGCAGCTCTGCATCAAAGATAGACACCGGGAAGAACTGCCTGATTTGAAGGCTGCTCCGCCACTCCGCACGGCTCGAGTGCTGGAACGATTCTGGCGCATCCCCTTTTTCTCACCCCCAACCTGTTTTTTGCAACCCCCTCCATGCTTCCAGGCCCGTTGCAGACCCTGCCGCAGCACCTTCTTTAAATGTAACATCCGAAAACGAAAAAGGGCCGTGATGGTGCTTTCGATGGTTTATCCCAGCTGCCATGGCTCTGCAAAAGCTACGTTCCGACCCTAAATGCAAAATCCGAGAATAACCTGTTAATCCACGCTAAACCTACCTTTGGAATTCTTGTTCGCCCCCAAGACATTGCAGGAGTTTTAGTTCAAGCTACCTGCCGCTTAGAAGTCCGCTGAGTCCGCTGCGCCTTAGAGGCAAAATCCAAAAAGCCGAAACAGGGCCATAAACCGGTTTTCCAACAAAAGTCCACTTGCCCTGGCTCCGCCAAACCTGGGCTTTGACGATCTGACGTTTTGATGCAAATTCCAAGAACTCCATAAAACGTCAAATTTACGAAGAGACAAGGCGCCTGCTGAACCTGATTCTGAAACTCTTAAGATAGTTATGGTACACAGTGCCAAAAAATACAATATATTTGTATATATATATATATAAATATATAAATATATATAAATATATAAATATATATATATATATAATTGTTTTTGTTCGAAGCCCGTGTTGGAGTTCTTGCCGCTGGGCGCTTCAAGGAGAATCCAAAGCCGAAAAACAACCGTAAGCCTGCCTGCAATCCATTGATCACTTCTGCCATGAATCTGCAAAACATATAGGTTTGTGACGGGGAAGCCACGTTCGGAAATCCACAAAAGCCTCATGGGCCCCCTTTAACGTCGAACTTCCTAGGAAGCGCGTTCTCACAGGACCTGAAACCCGGATGTGGTTTGTGCATGCCCTGGGACTCCCGGGGCGCGGTCAGTTTAGAAGGGTTTTTGGAAAACAGGAGAAAGGAGTTAACACAACATGTTCGGGAGTCAAAAAGCATGAATCGGGGGCCCAGAAAAACAGGGTTTCAGGTGAATAAAAAGGCCGCTGGGAGCTATAGCAAGCAGGGGGTCAGAAAACCAGACATGGGGTCGAAACAAAAGAAGGGGTGGCTGGGACGATTCTGAGGGCTGCGCAAGATTCGAAGAAGCTTGCTCTGCAGCCACGGCGCGGGAACGTGGTAGTACCTCCGACGAGATGGCACTCGTCACGAGTAATGCTGCCCCTTTAACATGTCATGACATCCTGAGAGCACTCGTAGTGCTCAGGGCAGAGGCCCTGAACCAAGTTGGCCAGGCACTGGCACACGGGCACCACCACGCCCGACCACGCGGGGGCCTCGGCATTCCAAAAGCAAGAAGCCTGCACTGCTCAGCACTCCAAACGTGCTCGCTTTGTGGCCGCATTTTTTTCCCATCTCTTCCGCGCTGCGACTCTCCGTGACCGAAGCTTTCTCCCGGGCTGCCTCGGATGTCCCCCACCACAGTACAGGTGCCGGCCCGGCCAAAGACTTGCCTCGGAGACGGCCACCGCGCGCCGGATCAGCTCGGCCTCTTCAGGCTAAGGCAGTGCCGCTGCGGCGAGGATCGGCGAGGCGAGGGTGTGGGGCGCCTTCCTCTGCTGGAGCTTCTCGCGTGCCGAAGCCTCCTGCACCTCGGCCGCATCGGCAGAACGGTGCCCTCCCCCTACTCCTTAACCCCACCGAGGTGCGCAAAGCTGCCGCAAAGTAACTTCCAGCTCACACCTAGCAGAGCATCCAATCAACTTCGTTAGATTTGAGAAAACGTGTGAAAACTGCATCAAATCAACTTCGTTGGGTTTTCTTGCTAGCTGGCCATCATTATTGGCGTCAGGCCTCATGCTGATGACGTCTGAACGGCTGCACAACTCAGGCGCCTATGAGGAGGCAGCTGACTCAGGGGCCCATCTGACTCTGAAGCATCATGCTCATACTCTGGGGCTATAGCCTCTTCCTGAAAACCTCCATCACAAGCCTTCTAGGCGTTTCAACTGCCTTGGCATAGACTTTGGCTCAGGCTCCTGCTTCTCATCTTCCAACCTCACGGTGCAGAGTCCGACTCCGAATCGTGGGGATCAAATGCGGTGGCCCTGGATGGCGGCATCACATGTCCCACATGTCCACGCGTTCCAACATGCATCTGCAAACACACGCTCTCACTTCCGCAATGAGTGGAGTGAGTGAATGAGTGAGTGTGAAACGGACAGTTGCGAGCAACCGAAATCCATGTATTTCCCACAATCCACAACACTCAAACAAGCATTCCTTTGTGTGACCAAGCCAGCCTGATGCAGTCTTGAGCCACATGCCACCCGGCATTGTAGCATTCGGGAATGCATCATGTTCATTCTAGAGCATTCTAAGGAGGTGTCATTTAACACAGTCCCTTGTTTCTGACTTTAGTCGAGAACCATTCAAACATTTAATCATCAAATACAATCACATGGAGATTTGCGAAGCGATCAAAAGAACATTCGGAACAATAGCAATCAAAGCTGCGAGAAGACAATGGCATCATTCTGGTCATTTTGGCTCGATTCAGGAAGAACACTCGAAGCATTCGGAAGCCAGGTTTGCACTGTACATTGCAAACATGCAGACAGTCGATTGATGCTTCATTCACCTTGAATACGAGAACTTCATTCTCTGCAGTCCACAGAAGAAACCCATTCAACATGTCAACATAAACTTCACACTGCAAACCAGTTGCAGTCGCAAGCGGCACCCCTAAATTCACTCGCCGGTTCAATGCGATCTCACTTCACAGTGCCCTTCGCATTCTTCCGGAGGACAATCTCGGCGCAGGGCTCGAGAGGTCTGAGCAATCCCCAGCACATTGGCGGGAGTGCGATCAGTGCGATCATTCGAGCCCTTCGCCTTGGATGGGTCATTTCTGGCAGTGGCGGCATTGTTTTCACCTTCACATCCCAATTAGAGCAATCGTGCTCCAATCCGCCACCAATCGCCTGATTCATTTCACGAGACTTTGCCCATTCGTGGTCGCCCACATTCCCCACTCAATGATGTCATTCAGGCAGAGGAGGATCTGCCAAGTCGGCTTTGGGCTTGGGCGACACATTTGGTCATTCATAGGCACTCGCACGATGCCCATGGCGACAGTGAAAGGCTCATTCGGCGTCCATCGCCATTGGTGATCTCCAGTAGTTCGACGGCTTCATTCCTGTGGAGCTGGATGCTCCACTCCCAGCTCCAGTCCATTTCCTCACTGCATCCGGCTTTGAGCGCTGGAACACAATGAATGTCATGCGCTCCGCATGCTCATTCGTCTCAAACACTTTTTCTTGCCCATTGCACAGTCTTGCACAGTGCAGACAGCACATTGGACGAACCTGTCAACTGATGGCAAGGAAAGCGGCTCAAATCTAGCCATCCATTGCTGAACAAGTTCTGTGCCTTGCTCACAGGCCAGGCATAGCCGTCGTAGACATTCACATGCAAACTGGTCCGTGGCATTCTCTTTGGCATCGTGTTGTGAGGAGACCGCCATTCCACATACCAATTCCCCGTCGTGAAGAAAAACATTTCAGCTTTGGTCATTGTGACCCAGCTGGATTCAATCATCCTCTTGTTCGGGCCATTCTCCTCGGCATTGATCCCCAGTGAGGACATTCTCATTTCTCAGCGAGCTGGCCGGACCGTGTGCATTCTGGCAACACTCATTCCGCCAGCTCTGGTTCCTCGCAACAAAATCGACAGCATTGGCGCAGTCGCCTCGCCCCATCCCCTCCGTTCCTTTGCCCTTGCCTTCGTACATTCCTTTGCCTTTGTGTCCTTTTCCTTTGCTTTTGGTACATTCCTTTACCTCCTTTGTGTCCCTTCCTTTCCATTGTCCTTTATTTCCTTTCAGTGTTCCAATCTCCATGTCGGCTTGTGCTTGGTAGGCAGTCCTGCCACTCGGCACAATCACGTGTTGATGTTTCGACATTCAATCGAAGGTGTGCTGCAGCAGTGGACCAACAGTCTTCTGCATTAGCAGGGTAACCAGTAGATCGTCGTCCAGTGCCCTGCCAGTCGTCTTCTCATGTCGGCTTTTGAGTATGATAAACTGACTCAGGTCACTCTCCAGGTGATTCATTCCACAGGTTTGTCGATTTCGCTCTTTCAGGCATTGAAAATTGTTTGTGCAATCTACACCAAATCTCGAATCCATTCTCCGTGTCCTCATTGCGAACAATAGCTCTTGCCGCACCATCAGTGATCTGGGCCAACATGTAAGCCAGTTGCCTAGAAAACAATGACACTTGATTATTCTGCGTCTGCTGCACATCAAATGCTTCACACAGGTCATCACCTATCATTCGGTTGGATCCCTCAACATCGTCCATCAGCAATTGGCCACTGGCTTGTACAGTCCTACATATCGCTTCAGCTGCCCCCAACCAGTCTTCCCATTTCACCAGCTTTCCGTGATACACGTGGCGGGAACAGTTTAATCTGACCACCAATCCCTCTGGTTCCGAACTCCATTCTCTCAGTTCCTGATTCCAGAGCCGAAGCTCCGCTACCATGCCAAATTCAACAGTACAATCCGCACTATCTCTGGCAACCAAGATCAATCACTTTCCCCACAGTCACACACTCAAGCAGACATTCCTTTGTGACGTCAAGCCGATTTGTCCAGTCTTGAGCCAATGCCATTCGGCATCAAAGTATTCACGCCCTTTGGGTGCATTTTTGGTATGGGTATATTTAACAGGGGGAGTGAGTAAGGGAGTGAGCGAGGGAGGGGACTGAGGCTGCGTGGTGCTCTTCGCAAGCAGTTTACCGAGCTTCGACTTGAGCTTGGGACTTCTGGAGCTCAGCCGCTTTGTGCTTGAAGTCCTGCTGGCAGACACGAAGCTCTTCGCCGGCTTCTTCCTCAGTCATGGAAAGCAGAACTGCTCAGGAGCTGCGAGTTGCCAATTCGGCAAAGGAGCCAATTTCTGCTGCGCTGCCTGCACGAGGCCAAGAATCGCGAGGAGGTGCTCGTTCCACGTGTAAGCGCCACACCCTGTCCTTCTTTTCTGGAGAGACACGCATGGCACGGCCAAGTGGCAGGAAGACGATTGAGACCCAGAGATCTTCAGTGGCTTTACTGTGAGTGAGCTCCGAGCTGTCTGAACTGGACCTAATGCAACACCTCTTCCATCCAGACACCAGAGCCAGGAAGGCTGGCGGGGAGTGCTGACAAGAGGATGGCCGATGGCAGGACAGCGTTCTTTGCAGCAGCTTGGGCCCGTCGCCGGAAACTTCCCCATCTCCAAGATGCCCAGCATGAAGCCACTAGCTGACCTCTGGTTTTGCAAAGCTCGCAGCCATCGAGGACGGGTGGCCCAGAGTTGCGGGCGTCAGCAGACCGATGTCCTGCTCGTTGAAGAGCGCCGCAAGCTTCGGAGACCAGACCTCTGAACTTCAAAATCGAGGTAAGGTCTATCTATCTCGAGCGCATGGATCGATCCTCTGGCTGCAAGCCGTCGTTCTCCTCCAAGATAAGAACAAGCTGGGAACTCCACTCTCTCCGGCCGTCTAGACACAAGTCCTTGCGATAGAGCCGCAAGAGGCAGATGCAGGCTTTGCGCTTCACGTAGGGCGACAGCCTCGGAACTCCCACAAACGCTGCATACTTTGCTCATTGATTGCCGTCGATTGGGCTCGGCATCTCTGTCTGCTCAGCTGTGCAATGTGCCACTGGCTGGGATTCAGTTTTGGCTAGGGAGGCTTGGCAAGGCAGGCTCGTGTGCCTCCAACACCAACACGGTGCAAGAGTTTGTCGTCTCGCATTTCATCGCAGATGTGCTGAAGACGAAGAGACGAAGTCCTTTCTGTCAGCTGAGCCGCGCGTTGGCCTGCGTGAGGATCATCCGCGCGATGTCGGTGAAGAGGTTGTCTGCAAACTCGGGCCCTCATGAAGTGCAGAGGGAGCAAGACAGGGAAAGCAAGCTGTTTCGGAGAGAGGAGAGCGAGTGGGCATGTGGCGCCGGGTGCCCGACCTCCGATGTTCGCCACCGTGTTTAGGGCCAGCGCCGCCATGTGCTGCAGGCCGAGAGAGAGAAGAGAGAGAGGGAGAGAGGGAGAGAGAGAGAGAGGAGAGAAGAGAGAGAGAGAGAGGAGAGAGAGAGGAGAGAGAGAGGAGAGAGAGAGGAGAGAGAGGAGAGAGAGGAGAGAGAGGAGAGAGAGGAGAGCAGAGAGAGAGAGAGAGAGGAGAGAGAGAGGGAGAGGGAGAGAGAGAGAGAGGAGAGAAGAGACAGCGATGGCCCCATCGGCATGTCTGTGCCTCATTGCCCGAGGAGATGTCGGTCTTGACGCTGTTGACGATCATCCGCACCATGTCGTTGTTGTCCGCCAGCAGCAGCGAGGTCGCGAGATACCTCGGGAGGTGGCGAGCCGCCGTGGCCCTCTTGTCCACTCTGTCGCACTGGGTTTCTGGCCCCGCTGTCTTCTCGCTGAACTTCGGGGAGGAGCACAACTCCACGGCCTCTGCGCACACACCGCAGTTTCAGTTGCGACGCACTTTGTGCACTTTGCTGGGAGCACCTGAAAGTGGCCGGTGTCGTCGATCTCGTAGCCGAGCATATACGCATAAAGCAGTTTCCACACATACCTGCGGACTCAACTGCCAGAAATCCCGCGGCGCACACGGCGCGTGTGCGCACTTCTTCCGGTCGTAGCCAGACAAAGTCTTCGGATTCGCAAACTTCTGCCGGATCTTCGAGAGCTCCTGCCATGGTGGGAAGTTCAGACTGCTGTAAACATCTCTGGCTCTGCCCTGCAAAGTGCTTAAAGCTCTTCCTTGTCGACTCGCGTCCGCTCTTGCTCTTTGGTCTGGCAGTTGCGGATGTCTGCGATGAAGACCTGCCGGCAGGTCGGTGGCAGGTCGCGCATGGCCGAGCCTAGGCCCAGCTCCGCTGCTGCCTGGAGGCCCTTCATGTGGCTCGGAGAGTCGAAGCCCAGGGTCTCCTGCGCCCCTCGCACCGCCGCCTGGCCAAACGGATCCCGAGAGGTGCCGGGTTTCGACGTCTCTTCTTCCTGCCTTGACACCCTTCATGGTGGGAAAAATGCCTCAGAACGCTTGCAGTGGCTCAGTGGCTCAGCGGGGCGTGGGCCTGAAGGCTCCCGGCAAGGCCCTGCGTCTTAGGCCATGTGAATCACACGCGGCGCCTTGGAACATCCGACTGCGCCCGTCTGCGCTCGCCACTGACGTGTCCCAGCTGAGGCTCCGCGGAGCCGGCTTCGGGCCGGGGCCCCCAGAAGCAAAGGCAAACTCAGAGCGTCCAAAGACGGGGCACTGAAGTGCTTGTGTGCTTTGAAGTTTTTTGGTGGTGGTGGAGTTCTGGCTTGTTTCACTGGGGGCCGAGGTTCCGAGGGTGCCTTTCGCATTGCACTGTGTCCCACTTCGTTTACTTGCGGAGTTTCTGGTTGGATCTGCAAGGGGCTGCACAGAAAGATCGAGACATTGCCCGAAAGTGGTTGTCCTCGTCTTGAACTTGAGGGAGGAATGTGGCCACAGCAGAAGGATCCCTTTTCACGAGCGTCTCTGGGTGAGCTCCAGGTAGATCTGCAGCTCACTTTCCCAGGTGCTTCATCATGAAGTTGTAGGCCTGCGTCATGCAACTTTGGGCACAGAAGGGTGAAGCTGCGACAAGGCAGTTCTGCTCCTCGCCCTCCTCGCCGAAGTCGATAATGGCAACGCAGCTGGCACCGACGACCTTGCCGCTGCTTTGGGTCAACATGCAGACAGCCAAGCAAGCTCCGTGGTTCATGCCTTCCTGGGCATGCCATCCTTGTCGATCTTGCAGAGGCCTGCCAACGGCTGGCTTTGTAATTTGGAAATTCGAAGGTCAAACGAAACTCGAATGTCGTCCTGCCCACTCGCCGAGGCTCTTGTTGTCAGGCACATCAATCACAGGCACGTTCTTCTCCACGCACAAACCCTTCCGGTCGCAAGCTGACAAGCTGTGCGTCTTGGCCTAGCCCTGCCATGCCTGGATGAGCTTCTTGTAGGTGGCTTCGTTGCAAGACTCGGAAAGGAACACCACCTGGGCCTTGCACGCCTCGATGTGCTTGGCAACCTTTCGGACTCTGCGCAGATATGCGCAGATTTCAGGAAACGACATGCAAGGTCCCCGCAACCCACACGCCTCATGGAGGCCTCGGATGGCACCGTCCACCATCAGGGACTTCTTGAGTACGCCACGAACGGCTCCCATGAGGTCCGTCACCTACGCTCGTCTTTAGACAGCTATGCGGGCCAGCAGCCGCATCCCCACCTCTTCCTCCGGCTCAGCCTCAGGGGCCACGACCTCCTCATCGTCAAGCTCAGCCATGACCTCAGACTCCACAAACTCACGCTCTGCCCATGTGTGTTCTCTCTTCGTAGCCTCAGGCGCCTGCTCTTTGCTTCGCGACCGACGGCACCCACTGAGAGACGCTCTCCGAGCCTACAGATGGCAGCAGGGTCCTGGCAAGGTGTGCGTGGGCGGGAGTGCCAGACAAATCTGCAAAATAGTAGCAAGACTAAGACACAGGCAATGTGCAAGGGCTTCACAACCTATCCACACTTTATGATGTGTGCTCGTGAGAGAAATGAGTCACAGTGAGAGCCACGGCGATGCGAATATCCACATGATGTTTTCGCTTGGCTGGCGAGTGCAAGAGCAATGTGCCACTACGAGTGTGAAAAATGGTCTGAAAGAATGCAATCTGTCTGATATTATACTACTATAAGATACTTGGACTACAATTTACTATAATATACTATAATATACTATAATAGACTATAGAGCCATGGAGAGAGTGAGTGCATCAGCGACTCTACGAATGCACGATGCAGGCCGCAAGCCGAAGCAGACGAGACTTGTGTCTTGAACTATGCTTCCCGATTCCGGACTGCCAAATCAAAGTGACTGCAACATGCCACTATTCTCTGCTGAGGGGGTAGGAGGGTGGCTGAGCGCAAGATAAGCAAAGCAACACCAGCTCTTCGATGAAGTCAGGAATCTGCCGAGCCCAGAGGCCCCGACGTCTTGCTCCTTCCCCCGCTCCCACGATTCCTACCACTTCCAATCCTTCCCCTTTCCTCCTCGCGCTTCCTTGGCTCCACGTCCCCCGCACGCATTCCCACCGCAGCAAGCCGAGGCGCGCGGCATAATTTTAGCATCTGTTTAAAGTAGGTCAAGGAGCAAGCACACATGACGCACGTGCAGTCGCAACTTTTTTTCGGGCAACCAGCTCCATGGGCCATAGCTCATAGCTGCCATAGCTGCACCAGGGCACCAGAGGGACACCAGAGTGCGCCGAACGGCTTCACGCAAGAACGACTGACGCTCTACCGTCTCTGTCTTGGATCTTTGGAGATTTCCTCTTCAGGACTTAGGACTTGCGACAAAATGGAGAAGATCCGCCTCGCGGCACTGGGAGCGCAGAAGAGTGGGAAGCATGTCAGTCGCCTGCGTTCTCTGGACGGACTGCTTCTGCGAGCTACGGGTCCAAGCCCGAGAAGTTCTGCAGGGTCCTTGCTCTCTGGATGTTCGTACTCGCAACCTAAGGAACCTGCTGGACACTGCATTCGAACTCCGAGAAGCTGCTCACATCAGCTTGGAACTCGGGCCGCCCCATCCACGGCCAAAAACGGGCGAGGCTTCTGCCAACTGCATAGTCAAGCCTGTCTTGCTACTGAGATTCTCCGTCTCCACGTCTCTGCACGTCTCTGCGCGGCCCGCTCTGTTTCAAGCTCAATTAAAGCATCACCCGCATCTTGACACCTTCCAAAGCAGTCGTTCATGCATGGCGATGAAGAAAAGCGAGAAGGGGGACCCCGCCGTTCTTCCAGACATATTCTGGCTGCTTTGCCAATGCTTCTCGGCGATCTTCCACCTCTCACGGGTCTTTTCTTAGCGAGAACCTGCACTGCTGCGACGATGCGCTGGCAAGGAGTCTGGGTGCTCCTTTTGGATCACACCACAGGGAGAGAGAGTGCGACAAGCCCGAGTAGGGCTCCCGAAGCCCCGAACCTCCCCGCGCCGCTCCAGGTCCTCCACGATGCGATCCCACCTGAGAAAGGGAAGCCTCGACACGCCCTGCCCCCCCCCCCTGAGATGTAAC